GCCAGCCTGCGCCAGGCGGCCAGCCGGGCGGCGGCTGCCGGCGGCGCCCTGCGTTTCGCCCGCGCCACCGCCAGCCTCCTGCAGGGGCGCACCGCCCCCGCCAGACGCGCCGCGGCGGCGGCGGCCCTGCCACCTGCGCACAGTTTGGGCCGAGGGGCTGCGCAGCGGTGTGCTGCCCCGCACCCAGCTGGCAGCCAGCCTGGCGCGGCGCTCGGCGCGCAGCACGCCGTCTGCCGCCCCCAGCTCGCCGCCTTCCTCCCCCAGCTCGCCGCCTTCCTGGTGATCTGGTGCGGGTTCGTGGGCTCATCGCTCTGCCTGGTGCTGCTTGCATACAGCATGCGCTCTGTCCAGGCGTAGTCTTAACCCGGCCCCACCCCCGCCACCTCATGACATGTACATCTTGTAGTTTTGTTTCCACCTTTCTTCCATTTTTTAGGCCGGGCAAATGCTTCCCTTTTTGTCCTTGTCCTGCCTGTGTACACGCTGCGTGCCATTACGCACCACCCGCCATGCTGTAAGGGAGAATGATGGATGTAGAAAGAGCACATGTTCACGTTTCGTGCATTGGGGGTTCCTGCATTGGGGATGCGATGCCCCATTGGCTTGTAATACAAAGAGTGGTTGGTGCAGGCAGCAGCAGCAGCAAGAGGTGGTCCCACTTGACGCAGCAATCGGTTGAAGGAGAGGGAGTGGTCAGGGAACGAGGGAAGGTAAAGAACGGGGGTAGCAGTTCAAGAGTCGACCTCTTTGCGGGTTGGTTTAGCAGCAAGGCAGAATGGTGTAGCAGCAAGGGAAAATGGAGGATGCATTGAAAGGGCGTCCGGGCTGTAAAACCGGCAGAGGCGACGCAGCAGGGGGAGGGAGGGCACACTGAGATCGCCCCCCTCAAAACCGTGCCCGGCGCAGCCGTGGCCCAGGCGAGATGGCCCCGCGGGTGCCTGCCCGCCTTCCGGCCATGCGGGCGCCCTCAGTCGCTGTCGTAGATGTGCTCCGCGGAGACGTCGATGACGTCCTGCGAGTCAAACTGCGCCTTCCTCCTGCCCGACCGCGGCCCCCGCGCAAACACCTCCTCCAGGATAGTGCCGCGGAAGGGGTTGGCCTCCCGCCGCCGCTGCTCCTCCACATACTCCTTGTACCGCTCCTGCTGCTCAGCCATCATCCGGGCGTTGATGTAGTTGCTGCGGGGGGACGGGAGGGGGCACCGTAGGGGCAGGCTGTGTTGTGAGTGTGTGCGTGCTGGTGTCGGTGTGGCACCAGGGTGGGAGCCCAGAGGGCGCACACAAGTGGGGAGCTGCCGAGCTGCAAAAGGACGGGGCGGGGCGGTTGCTGCCCAGCGGGGGGCGCCAGGCGGTGGCAGCCGGGCGGCTCACATGAGCATGGGGCTGAGCAGGATGCCGATCCACATGAGGCTGAACAGCAGGCGCAGGATGACCCAGAACGCGCCCGTGAACACTGCGGCAGGCAGGGGGGAAGAGATGGCGTGTTTTGGAGCGATCCGGGTTGGAACGATGCTGCTGTGCGCTGGCTGGCCGATGGGGCTGCCGCCCCCGGGCTGGCCCCCTCACCCGACACTAGGAAGGCGAAGAAGAAGGTGATGGCGCCCATGGGCGTGCCGCTGAAGTCGTGCAGGCGGCGGCCCAGCAGCGGCAGCATGCGCCTGGCGTCTGTGAGGAAGATGCGCAGCCGGCGCCGGAACTGGAACTTCTGCAGGGGGGTGCATCGCACTTGCCGGCCACCTTGAGCTCGTGGGTCGCAGGCGTTGCGTGCGCGGCGTGCGGCGCTCATCCCAGCAGGCAGGCAGGCAGGCAGGCAGTGCCGCCGCCCCCCCTCCCACACACACAAGCCCCCACCCCACCGAGTCCAGCTCCTCTGCAGTGTCGTTGACTGTGCGCGCCGCGCCGGCTGCCTTCCCCAGCACATCATACTCCTCATCCACCTGCAGTACCAGGCACCAAGCGCCCGGCAGCACAGCCACGTCGATGACTTGGCGGCAGTGGATGTGGCGGGCGGGAAGCAGGAGGCGGTGGGAGGCGGTGCCGTGCTGCGGCGCCCGCCTGCCGCTCACCTTGCGGGCGCTGGCCTGGGCCTGCTCGGCGGCCTGCGCGGCCGCGCGTGTGGCTGCCTCAAGGCCCGAGTTGATGCGCTGGTCCAGGCGCTGCTGCCTGGCCCACTGCTCAAGCTTGGCCCGAGCGTCGCTGGCCTGCCGCTGGAAGGCCGCCTGCGCCTGCCGCCACGACGCAGAGTCACTCGCCGCTGCCGACGGCCGCACCAAGGACCGGTGCACCGGCCTGCGGGCCTGCGCACCCCCGCGCACACTCTGCCTGCCCAGGAAACCGCTGTCACGAAGTGCGGCTGGCGCAAACGCCAGGCTGCTCATGACTCAAGCCACCTCTCACGTCACACCCTGCTGGTATCGAATGCTGTGTCCAGCGATGGTTCAAATGAGGGTTTGCGATGCGCTGCTGGGGTGTGAGAGCAAATGAGTTGGCACCCGCAGTACAGGCGCCTTGGTAGACTGCAGAACATCAGAGAATTTCAATTCGAAGCTCTGCCGCACCTTGTGACGCTCCAGGACGGCAATTCGATCCGCGCCTCTCGAGAATGCGCGATGACGGGTTTGCAGCGGCTGTGCGAGCCCTGGCTGAGAGCGTGGGGCAGAGCGATGCCGAAGCCCAGGATTTCATTGCTGCGTTCCCACTCGAGACCTGCTTCCGGTGCGTCGCCCACCCGCCGCCCGCCCGCCACCCGCCGCTGGGGCTCCCGCCACCAGCGCCAACCGCAGGGCAGACCAGCTCCCTGCCGCCAGCAGCTGCTCATGGTGCGCGCCTGCCCGCTGCCCATACAGAGAGCTGAGCGGGCCCGATGTGAGCGCCTCGCTGATGGAGGACGCAGCAGCCGCCCTTGCCAAGGTCTTTGGCACCAGCTACGGTGCGCTGTGCCACCCGGGGCACCTGCACACTCAGCCTGCCTGCAGCCCTGCCCGTGTGCAGTGCGCCTGGGTGCATCCGATGCCTGCACGCCTGCCCTCCCCTCCCGCTGCCCGCCCCTGCAGGCGCCTCCCTGCTGCCCAGCATCCTGCCACTCGCGGCTGCCGCCCTTCAGTCGCCCTCCGTGCCGCTGCGGCGCCTGGCGGTGCAGCAGCTGGGCCGCCTGGTGGCCGCCCAGGAGGAGCCGCCTCCGGCGTGCCTGGACCTGTTAATGGCGGCGCTTCAGGACCCAGAAGTGGGGGTGACCTCGGCGGCAGAGGCAGCCCTGAGGCAGCTGGGCAGGCCGCAGGCGGGTGCGCAGGCGCTCCTGCCGCAGCTGCTGCGGCGGGAGCACCCCTGGGGCGGCGCGCTGGCGGCCCTGGCCGCCTGCCACGACCCGCTGCTGCGCATGCGGGCGCTGACGCTGCTGGTGGCGCTGGCGGCGGCGTCGCCGGCAGCGGCGGCGGCGGTGCGACGGTCGGGCCTGCTGGAGCCGCTACTGGCTGAGCTGGAGGACCCGGGTGGGCGCACCAGCACACGCTGGGTGGGGGGCAGTGGTGGTGTGTGTATGGGTGGTGTGTGTTGGGGGGGCGGTGGGTGTGGGTTGGTTAGGGGCAGGGGCTAGGGCCACCTTCTGCTTGTGGGAGGAAGGCCATGCGTGGGGTGGGGCTGTGACGTTGCCTTGCTCACCGTGTTGCCCCGCCCCTCC